CTCACAATAGCGTGTGTCTGTGTGGTGTGTGTGTGTGTGTTTGACCGGAAATTCATAGCTCGAGTCACAGTAACGATAGCGCAGTGGTTCTTACATATGTTATAGGGGGTGGGATGGGGACACAAGTGGTACGTGATAGGAACTGATAACGACTGATAATAGCTGATAAGAGGGGCTAGAAAGCGAGCATCGCCAATTTCGTTTTGCCGTTCATATTGGTAAAGAGCGTCTATACTTACAAGTGTTATGTGGGCGGTCCCGGGACATTGGTGGTACATGATTGGAAGCGATAGCAACTGATAATGGCTGATAAGATGCGCTAGAACGCAAAAGTCGTCGATTCCGTTGCCTGGCTCGCGTTGACACCAGAGCAACCATACTTACAAGTGTTATGTGGGGTGGGACGGGGACATTGTTGGTGCCAGAAACTGATAACGATTGATAAGGGCCGATAAGGTGCGCCAGAACGCTGCAGTCGTCGATTCCGTTACAAAGCGTTGACACTGGAGCGTTCCACTACAAATTGTGTGCTTGCTTAATAGAATCGACTGCATAAACCTAAACTTCAGCAAAATGATAAGCTTCATTTCTGACGCACTATCAAGAAAACCCAAATTCATTGAACCGCATTCCATTCGGGGTTCTAAATAATGGTGAATGTAAATGAATGATAAGCATCAGCTCCTCACTTATGTAAAGAGGCATATTTCGTTTTCATTTTGAGACTGACGACAGCAATCCTATTCACCGCTAAATTATCTTAATTCAAGAAAAATGCTGGATGTTTACAGAGTTGCGATCAATATACCAGTTCAGCTCCAGACGTTATCACGCGTATTCTCGATGAGCTTCAGTGAAACTGTGGAGGGTCTAACACAGTCAATAGTGAGATGGTTAATGGAGTATCTCATGCTGATATTCCATGGGTCCGGACCATGCGCTGCATACATTTCGCATGGTGCCCCGGACATGCGCGCAGATAGCGGGCACAGCAAAACTTGGCTGGTAATTAACATAATACAACTCGCGAACAGCTTGAGCTTCACAGGTTTGCTCACGTGACCTGATTTTATCTTACTTTTTGGCCGAGAGTGAGAATTACTTGATGTTGTGGTATTGTGTGCACCTCGCCACCTTCCCGAAGAGCGCGTTAGCGCTCACATAGAAGCGTCCCCATCAGGAAAGACGTGTTCCCACTCCGGTGTTCTCGCAAAACTGGGGGACAAGCCGTTGCCTTCATACAACCGCCATACTTCTGGTTTCTAGCCCCCCCCCCTCTCTAGCCGCGGAATACCCCTGGAACAGCGTCTCAGCAGCCCTAAGAAGGTCCAAACAGCATAAACGGTTGATGGTTAACTCAAAGCAAAATCTGTAACCCTCAGCGTAAGCAATGTCAGCAAACCAAAAATTATTTCACTCGAAGGTTCTCTGTCAATTCAACAACCTTAGGACCTTATTTCCGTGTTGAACCAGAATCGACTCCGCCGATGATTTTCCGCTTCACCGCATTTGACGACAACAGACGGCGGCTGACGACTTACAATCACCGAATAGTAGAGAAAGTAATGTGCCATACTGCAGAATCGATTGTATGCCTGAAAATTCTACAATTTCAAACTGTTAATACAAAATATTTGAAAATAGTCGTGGCTACGACACTATAGGGAAGGATTAAGCATGCATCGCGTTATCCAACTTCCTGGTCTGGAGGAAGTCAGGTGGTTTCATAGGCTACATGGTAGATCACTAGTCATCCCAGCACAAGTAAGAGGTGTGACAAATCCCAAAGAGGGAATAATTCACGCCAAATGCTTCATCCTTCCTATCATTTCAAACGAATGTACCTCATCAAATGAGGGGCTGGGAAAGTACTGCTTCAAGTAAGTGAGCCCAGATAACGTTTGCTGCAGCAATTCGCCGAAGTACTCGAACCTGCAATAAAAAATCTGTATTGTTATTTATCACTGGATGGGGAAAAATTACGGTAAAAAGAGCGCTTTTGAAAAATGAAGTCCGTGAAACCTAGTGGATGACTTTGACTAAAAGGACTTCTGAAGGAACCGGCTACGCATTCCGGCATAAACCGCCTACACACAAATCGGAGTTTCTGCAAAACTAGTGCAACACAGCTTTCCGGAATTCATGACAGTGAACGAAAAGCAACCTAATCTCCTTTTTTGAAGGCGGAGCTCACGATGAAATGGCAGCCATTAGCAATCAAAGTAGGGGCGGCCGTTGGTGCAGGGGAGAGGAGAAATCATGAGAATTGATCCAGAAGCTATGAATCCCTTCTTTGCACGTTGATTTCAGCGTGGATGTGACTGTCGTTGGCACTGCCCTCTTTAACGCCAACACTCTCTATCTGCCGAACGGCCAGGGTCAGACGGTGAGGGGACAGCCATCGTTGGGCGTACAGCGGCGCCATTTCAGAAACACATTACAGAAATAATATTCAATACCCACTGGAGGTGGGCCTCCAAAGAAAAAGGCTTGTCAAAACGTACTGTAGGTGAATCACGTCCAGTTGCTTATAGTGAAGTTGTTGCGTCCATAACGTGCCGATGCTTACCTTGAAAGAAAGTCAATTATTATTGGACAGTGCGACCCTCAACCAAAATTTGGCCACAAAGGCACAATCGGCGAATGAGTAGGGGGTTATGGTGTAGGGCCGTGGGAGGCAAGCTACCAAAAGAAATAAAGCAAAAAAACCGCTAAGAGCTCTCAAAAGCGGGGGTGATCGCCATCAAAAGAGGGGGGGGGAGGGCACAAACCCCACCCATACGGTAACCCACAACACGAATTTAGGGACTCACAACAGCATTCATTTACTTCATGTTCTCTATTTCTGATGTACCTACCACAGAAAAGTTCACTGGAGAACGCAATAAACCGTACCTATGTGTTTAACCGTGAAATGAAGCCTTGCGTTTCATTTCAGTTTCCCTGCGATCGACAGCAGTGGGTGATTCGCTTCTTTTGGGCAAACTTGGAGTACTGGCAACACTCCCTCTCCCCCATTTCCCACTCCGCCGCACTTTACAGTTGGTTTCGATTGTTTAGTTCAATCAGTTCAGTTACTCGGGTCAGAAATCATTCAAAACGCCTTCATGGTCTAGGATGGAAAGTCGGTTTGCGGAGTAACCGATGAGTGCGTCTATTACAGGAAACCCTGGCCAAGGAGCAAAAAGCGCAGCTCTAAACTCCGATCTACGGACCGTCAAAAAGAAAACCGGTGATTGGACCTATAGTTAGTTAGCCTAATTGTGGGAAAGCATACGAAGAAAGTTCAGAGTAGGTGCGATCAGAAATAATTCGACCTGCGTTTTCCATCATGTGCAGCCTGCCACCTTATCATGACCTGATTCATTTTCCATTCCGCTTACCAGGAAGGTCTTTCAGGGCGTGCCAAGCTTTTTGAAAACGGTTTTTTTTTGATATGGGCACATGCGGGAACCACAGAACCATGTTAATTTTTCCTGAACGGCCCTCTGAATACCAGAAAAGGGGGTCCCTAGTTCGATTCCTCGTGGTGACAAATTTTTGCATTTCGAGTTGACGTTTCAAAATTCGCGCAAAATGGAGTTAGCATGAATAATTAGTACCATATTCATGATTAGGACCGTCAGTAACCCTTACAAATAGACTTTGATTAAAAACTGGTGAAAAAGGTGTGACACCACAGTGGGGCCCTTTGGTGTCACACTTTTTCACCAGTTTTTTAATCAAAGTCTATTTGTAAGGGTTACTGACGGTCCTAATCATGAATATGGTACTAATTATTCATGCTAACTCCATTTTGCGCGAATTTTGAAACGTCAACTCGAAATGCAAAAATTTGTCACCACGAGGAATCGAACTAGGGACCCCTTTTCTGGTATTCAGAGGGCCGTTCAGGAAAAAACATGGTTCTGTGGTTCCCGCATGTGCCCCTATATCATGCAAAAGACCGTTTTCAAAAAGCTTGGCACGCCCTGAAAGACCTTCCTGGTTAGTGATTAGGACGTAAGCAAACCAGCCCTTTTGGCGCTTCGGCTGGGACCGTATGCTGAATGTTGGGGAGGGGATGGAGTCCCCGACGGTGGACGGACCACTTCAACTCGGTCCTTAGAACCGCCACAATTTGGTGCTTACCTCAGAACTAAGCCTTAAAGAGAGGACGGGTCCGTCCCCTCTCCAAGGCTTAGTCCTGGGGTGAGCAAACCAGCCCTTCTGGCGGAGCTGCTGGACCAGCTGCACCACTTGCGTCAGTACTCTCCTATCGTACCAACCGAGTTGAAGTAAACCGTCGACCGTTGGGGACCCCATCCCCTCCCCAACATTCAGCATACGGTCCCAGCCGAAACGCCAAAAGGGCTGGTTTGCTTACCTCTCATTAGGCTTCTCCGAGCCACTGCTGCGCCATTGGGTACTGATAAAATAGACGATCAGACCGTACTGAGGTGCACACATAATGGTGGTCTACAAAGGGTTAAGGCTAGTTCATGACTGTAACGTACCCTTTGTTGCTTCATTGCCCATGAGAGGAGGACGTCGCCCATCAAATGCTGCTTTTCGTCTTCAAATACAACGTACAGGTTTTCGCTTGTGTGCAGTATTCTCTAAAACAATGAATTTTCTTCAGTTTTGAGGCCTTATCAAGGACACGTTTTGTGATCAAACAAGTGCAACACGCACGGGGGCAGAAAATAAAGACATTTTGCCCATGTCGCACTTTGGCCCTTTTTACTAAACAGGTTGCTGTCGTTTTTGGGGGCAGAAAAGGCTTTAACCTCAGCTAAGTAGCCCTCATGTCCCTCTAATAGTAGCACGCAGGCCTTCTTCACAGGCCCTCCCAGTCTTCGCTATGATGTCACTGGTCCATCGTAGCTCAACGCTCAAGCAGGGCATAACCGTACCTGTTTCAGCCTGAAGTCTCACATAAATTCGTGCATCGGTTCAATGTTGGATAGTTTTCTAGAGACATTAGCTCCCACTATGCGAGCCCCCTCAGAACTAGCTTTTCACTAAAGGTCGTTATGGTCCTTCGAAGACCCCATCGAGCTCGACCACTGCGGACAAAATGTCTTTTTTTACTGCCCCCCCCCCTGTACTTCTCGAAATCGCAAACTGATATGGCAATAGTCCATCAATGATGAGAGAAGACAGGAATTTGCTAATAATCCTGAAATCACATGGCGATGTGTGTGGAAAGATTTCTAGGATTTTATAATACTAGAGAAAACGATAATCAATCAGGTCCTCGCCATTTTTGTCGCGCGCGGCAACTGCTTGCCACGAAATTTTGCGTTATTCTATAACCCGACTAGCACTGAATTAGCGCGTGATGTGGCGTGAGCGAGCGAAAGTAACATTCGCCCTTTTGGGTAGGTACAATGAATTTTACGATTACTTGATGACCCATAAAATCACCTGGATAAGTGCCGGTTGTTCATGTTGTGGAGTTCGGCCGGATAGCAGGGCATCGACGTCATCTTTGAAAATCTGAACAATTAAGGTCAACAGTACGATTCAGGCAAAAGCTGGTGCTGATTGTGAAGCTTCCCCTGTGAAATGTCGGGGCAACTCCAACCTGATAGATTTCGGCGCTCTGTTGTGTTTCGAGACAAAAACCTCATCGACAGCCGGTTCAGACGGCGAAAACGCCGACGACGATTCCATGTCGACATCGGACTGCCCAGTGATGGACATCTTCACCGGACGCTCGCACGTTCCCGTTCCCCTTCTCAGATATTACTGAAAATGAATAGATTAATAGCAGGGAAGATGGTTCTACATAGAGAATGCGAACGAACAATCTTTATCGATATAGCGGAACCCACTGCCACTTAACGCACAGAGATAATCCAAAATCACACCTCTTTCGGTAGATCACCCTGATTGAGCGCATGTCCCTAGTGATTGTCGGTGATCTAGCAAACAATCATGTAAATCGACCGTTGTTACAAGTAGGACGGGAGGTCGTATTTGGAACGGGCGAAAGCCAATTTGCAGCGCGCGATGACCGTATGGGCGGGGTTTGCGACCCATCTTCAAACCATGAAGTGCCCACGGTACGTATATACAGATTGACAGTCTTCCACGACGGTTCCTCAGAAACTGAGAAACACTTAAAAAGGCAGGACAGACTTATCAAGCTAATGTCAAATTACAAACCATTTCAAGGAAATCAAGCATAACTGGCAGCAGTATGCTATACGAAGTTATTCACGAGAAAATGATGCTAAATCAATTTTTCTCCCAAAGCAACTTTAATTGAAAAGCTCACGATCGCCAACGGGTTCCGGAACGTTTCTTTTTACCTATATACACTACATTTGCTTTTTATCTATATACAGTGGTATTTGTTAGAGATGTAAAGCTTCAGCGATCACAAAGAAACAAGAACCCATCGAAACGATGGCTGCTAGCGTGATGATTACTTCAAAAAAAAGCAGTCTAGCTGGGTTCAAGGTACGGAAGAGTTTTACATGTAACTGACGGAAGGAGTGGAGATCAGAGCTGAGATAGAGAATGACCGCTAGAGCTGGCCGTGTGCAAGTTAGAAGGCTCTGCCGATTTTGCCTCTCAAAATTGTCTGACGCTAGGATGTGATGCTAGCCGGGCTCCACCTAGAACACGTGGCCCCGCCTAGAATTGACATCGTGAGCACGTGCATGCTCTCATTCATGCCCATACACTCTCGTCTCTGACTCTTTTCTCTCTCTTCTCGATGACGTAATCTCTTATTTCGCTGCCTGCCTCTCATACTTTAAACGGCTTAGAAAAAGGTGACCCTTATTTTTTTCTGTTCTTCATGGTTTGAAAATTGCTTCTTTTTCAATTATTCCATTCAAATTGACTTCCATTGTCCACTGAAATAATAAAACAGCTGCGGGTTGAGCGTTCAAAGACGTTTTTACTAAAGATCATAAAACATCTAATTTTGAACAACGACGGTTACTTTAAAGTATAAGTTGTATTCTCAAAGAACTACAATACAAAAGCTGTGGAAAGAATAAATGGCGTGATGAGACGAGAAGACCCACTCCTCTCATTAGCTAGCAAATTTCAATATCCAATAAAATAGCATGCCTCGAAAATACCCTAACCTTCCACTTTTTTCATTGCTCCTCTTAGCTGTGCTTTCACAGATACCATAATATTATTCAGTTCTCATAAACCATAGACTGACAGCCTTTCAAACATCTCCACAATGCGGAACGGAAGTCAGCGGCAAGGCGCTCCCAAAATATTGATCGATGCCGAAAACTCTGTCTAATGACCATTAACACGTTGCAAACCGTGCATGTTTTACGTTTTGCGGCCGCGTGGAATAGTTTGGGAGGAAAACCTACTCAGATTACTTGAAAGAACCTTTTGAATGAAATGGAAAGGAAAACAAAAGAAAGGCTCAATATTTCTTCCAAAATACGGACTGTAAGGTCCGACGCGGTCGACAGACTGCAGCCCACATATGGGCTGCATGGGCTCCAAGGTGTCAAACATACGATAACATGATAACTACGAACTTTTTTTTGATTAGATACTTATGAAGCAGCCTAGCAAACAGTACAGTAAACATGAGGATCAGATCTGGTGTGTACCGTGCTCTGTAGAAACGGTGAAAATACAAACT